AGAAACTATGACCGGAGATTAATTAAATAACAAAATAAGTATTTTCATGTAAAGAAATGCAACAAGAACATAAGTTACAATACGCAATAATTATCGAAAATGGAATATGTGTTACTAGCTTATTGTGACACATCTCATGACTCAATTTAACAATGTTTTGTTGATGAAAATAAAATAAGCTTAACTTACTTCAGATACTGTAAGTATAATATGGGAGGAATATATCCTTTACCAGCTTCAAATACTTCTACTACTTCATATAAATGGGATGTATATACATACATAGATAAAGAGACAGACAGACAGAGGGAAATACATACATATATCCTCTACGAGGGACTTTCAAGTGTATACATGGAAAGACACAGGGTAATTATAAAGAAAAAACACGCTTTTCACGAATTTTTCATTTATTTTCATGTACAATATAATATATGATATAACATAAGTTTACAATTTACATTCAGATACTCGTAAGACCAGTTTTAGTACGTTTATTGAAAGCAATGGTTATCACATTCACTAGAGTGCATCGATTATGCAAACCATTTTAACACTTCCGTTAATAAATATGAACTATTCTATTTCAGTTTCCACATATATAATATTTTTAACACACCCTGTATATATTTTGGTTAATTAATGAAAAACAATAGATAAAAGTGTTTCGTGCATGACGGATTTTAATCAGTCTTTCCAAGATGGCGTCGATGAAGCTGCGTTGAATTGGCGAAGAATTTTGTACAGTTTTGGAGTTAATATAACAGATTTGGGTATATGTTGATCCGGTTTTCAAAATTCGGTATTTTTTACACCAAATTGCGCAATAAGATCAAGCGAGTACAGCATATTTTAATGTATCAGATGTGTTATTGTAGAAACTGGATCACATCGAGACAAGGGAGAGTACTCGATTTTATACGCTTCCATAAATTTCCGACACATTTTATCATTTTCATTCATTGGATTTTAGCTCAATCAGGCTAAATTACCCCGAGTGAGCTAATTTAGCCCGATTGGGAGATGTGCCCAGCCTGTTAAACTGTTTCAGAACCACAGACACTTGGGGTTTGGAGCTCAAAACGCCTTTAAAATCCAAATAAAATGCATATTTGTCAATCCCAGCACATGTACTGATCATATATATCAAAAAAAACTTAATATAAGCCGTTTTGAAAAAATTTCATATTTCAAGATCTATAATAATACACAAGATAAAAATGTTCGCCGGAAAAAATCCGCACCCATACCGTCATAATCACCATGTATTTTATTCCATTTCCAATATTTTCACATAATCCTTTGGTCCATCGACACAGAAGATATAATTCTTCACGATGATGGTCAATTTTTAACTTCAACGGTAATATAAACAACGCAACAGCCGAAATAAATACATGTATCAAGATTATCGCCGTTTTCCTTCAATGACATTATCTTTCGAAAAATTCAAACGTGCCAGTCGGCTATGACCGAAGCCATCCGATTATGTGGTTCCCAAACTTAAAAGCGCTGCGCATTTTGCACACGGCAAAGCTGGGGCCACATTATCGGATGGCTTCGGTCATAGCCGACTGGCACGTTTGAATTTGATTTGAAACAGATTATTTCATTGGTTGATTAAAATAAAAAGCTGAGCTGGGTCACTGTATCGTCCAATCAAACAGAGTCTTACAACAGGAGCCGAGTATGTCTCATGGCTTTAAAAAAATATTAAAACGGAAGAGTTAAAAAAAAAAAAAACTGAATGTTTGCTGGAATTGATTGGTTTTAAAACTATTTCCAGCAGTAAGTTGTTTTTTGGTTTTGTTTTATCGATTTATTGCGGGTTGGTACAATGACATGGTTTAGAATTGCGTTTTTACACGTAGAAAATCGAGTGTTGACAGGTTGCACGGTTGTTGTCGACCTAGCAAAAGTTTGACGTTCCATCCGAAATATTGGTTTGCTGTTCTAAAACGGTTTAAGTGGGAACAATAATGTTATTGTCAACATCAAGTGATGTCATTTAGCTGCAAATTAATATATAACTTAATATGATTTACGTAAAAATGACTTTGCAATTTTGACTTATACTGGACAAGTGGCATTCTGCCAATTTGGCGAGTTCAACCCCTTGTCTATATATTACATATAAACTATATAATTTTTTCTAGAATTACTTATTTACACTATCCCAACACTGTGCCGGGTCCCTATGGGTATTTGTCTAATTTGATGTTATGGAGCAGTCCTGTATAACCCGAATAACAGACATTGGGGTTGCAAATACCCCTACTGGTTGGGGACCACCAAAACCGGACAACCACCAAACCCGGACGGCCCCGAAAATGCTTAATTTAATATTTTCTTTGTTCAGTGGTTGTCAGTCACTTTTTTATCAACAATAAATTTGTGTTTCTTCTAAAATTAAGTAAATAAATTTATTTCAACCTCCATAAATGGTAATATTTTAATGTCTATTTCAAGAATGTTGACGTTGAAATTTAGGGGTTAAGAAAACAATGCCTGACCTAATATACCAGCTATAATCATTTGCAGAGTAAACAATAGTATATCCAAAACTTCACCATTTTGTTGCTGAAATATTGTATATCATGTTAAAAATCAAAACACCCAAGCTTTTATCTGAATGAAATCACGTCATGTACATATCTGTCCGGACACATGGTACAATGTACTGTAGTGTAGATAATTTAGGTAATTTTGATACCCTCCTTGTCGAGCCTCCGATATAAGTGTCAATACAATCAGAAATAAACAAACTAGTTTGTTAGTTAGGAGAAGAACAGTGTCAAATTTTTTGGTCTATGAAATCTGTACGAAAATTTTTCCAAAAGTGTCCGGTTGATGGTCTCCAACCAGTACACAAATAATTCTTTTGCATAAAGTAATGAAACTAGGGCTGTCATTCACTTTATAATACAGACTCCTAGTCCTTCATTGAAAGTCATCGCATTTTCTTTCTTTTTACAGTTTGACTAGTGATGTATAGATTGTCGCAAGTCGCCGATAATCTTTTACTGTTATGTAAATCGACAATTATAAATTGATTCACAAAAATTTATTCTGCTACGTCGTCGAATATGTTTAAAGTATTAAAGGGAATTAATTCTGACGGTAATTTTCTTTTAGGAACACCTCGCGGATCGCAAAACAATCACCTCAGGGACAGTTTGGAGTTGAACAGGATCAATACGTGGTGTAAACAATAGTAATATAATGTGATGTGAATGTTATTATTTGTCATCCATTGATAAATAAAATCTATTTCGTAAATTTATGAATATATAACGTTAAAACTGTGTTGAAAAGTGCTAAATGAAGTTCATGTTACTGAATTTAATCAATTGCCTTGGGAAGAAATTTCACTTCCCTACTTCTTTTGAACGCGACTTTATTCGAAAAGTTATCGATTATGTCCCATCCGATTGAACCGATGATCGATTGGAACAAATTTCATCCGATTTCCATCACTAAGTTTGACGTTTATCGGATAATGCGAAGTCTTTCTCTATTTGGCTTATTTCCTATAGCACTAACGCTTCTCGAGTCGATTTGAATTTACCGGTAAATCACAACTTGAATGCTATTTATCACAAAAAACAACTGATTGCATAAAAGACGGAAGCATATTTTCCCAAAAACTGTAAAAATATGCAAAAATTAAGATAAGTGGTTAATTTATCCATATATTTAAGAAGACACATGAAAGACATTTTGTGTTAACCATTATATTGGAAATTCCCGGTCATGCTGTGACGTCACTCAAAAACAATAGTACGAAATTAGTCTGAACGAAAAAAAATTCTGTTGTGATTTAAGACGCTGACAGGTGCACACACTAAAAATTTCGTCTAAAAAATTTGGTTCCAGTAATCACTGCTATGCGTAGTACACACCAATATGGAGGCTGTTTTCATGATTTTTACATGGATTTCTTTAAAATTGTTTAAAATTTGAATAAGTTGTTTTTGAGAAGGAAAATACACATTTTTGGTAGGATTATGAATACCAAGCATTATTTGTAACATTTTACATAGGGAGTTTGAATGATTGTGCATGTTCTTCATTTTGCTATGGACTTTTAAATAGATATCTTTAGATGTTAAAGCGAATATGACCAATGTGAAAAATAGCTTCAAATCCGTTGTTTATGTGTTAATATTTGGACTAGGGACTCTCCTAACCTAATTAATATAGGGGTGGGCAATTTACGGCGGTATACCAGTCAGTGATTTTTCTCACTTAATTGGGAAGAGGCCTTGGCCTCTTGATTTTGATAAAAATCATTGCTAAAATTGCTGATTTGGGAAGGAAAAAAAACTGGTTTAATTTCAGATTTTTGGGAAAACTGCATGATTTTAAAGAAAATTCCAATAGGGAAGAGGCCTTTTTTCTGAGTCTGTTATATATCATTATATGTAGGAAAATCACTGCCAGTTTTTGCAATATAATTTCACAACATGATATATCGATATGATTTTGAAAAACTGTTTTATACTTGATTCTCCAGAGAAGTCGTCATCTTAAAACAATAATATATAAAAAAAAATACAAGGACAAAAACCAAAACAAATCAAAGTGAAAACAAGAAAGGAAAATCCATTATTTGGAAGTTACATCCAAGTAATAAAATAGTTTAAGTTGACTTTATATAATAAAAAATCTTTAAAAATGAGAACAACTGAAAGAAAATGCACTTGAATGATAATAAAAAAATCTTTGATTGCTGCTTATAACAAGCTTTTAAAATTCGGAATGTGAATTGACTCAAAAATTGTGTCTTTTTTCAGGCTTCTGCACAACTTTAAGGAAAATAACACAAAAACATCAAATGTTCAAGAAAAATCTTTGCTCACATATCAAAAATACCCATTTTAGCTTTCTTGTGTTTTATCTTAGACATTGATAAAAGGAAAAGTTTGCTTATGTTTTATTTAAAATCCCATAGTAAAGACTTGCCTACATTTTCAATTTTAAGATGTCTGTAATTTCAGTAAAGAAGGGTTATCACAAGGTATCACTGAAGGTTCATCCAGACCGTGTTGCACCAGAAGAAAAAGATGCTGCCACTGTGAAGTTTCAAACAATAGGAAAAGTTTACTGTATCCTCTCAAATAAGGAGAAAAGAGCTGTCTATGATGAAACAGGTATGAGACAGTTATTTTTATGCCACCGCAGCATCTGCGATGCGGTGGCATATAGCGATTCACCTGTGTGTGTGTGTGTTAGTTTTTGTGTTATATAGATTATATAGTGAACTTCAAAAATCTTCTTGTGAATAACCACTAGTCCAATTTCAACCAAACTTGGCAGGATTGATCCTTGGGCTGCCAAAGTTGTTCAAAGAATTTCATTCCATGCAGAAATCTGGTTGCCATGGCAACCAAAAGGAATTATAAGAATAAATTTTAAAAATCTTCTTGTAAAGACCCAAAAGGCCTAGAGCTTAGATATTTTGCATAAAGCATTGTCTGGTAGACCTCTACCAAGATTGTTCAAATTATAGCCCTTGGGTCAAAATCGGCCCCGCCCCGGGGGTCATTGATTTTCACTATATGTACAAATAGTAAAAACTTAAATACCTTCATGTAAAGACTCAAAAGGCCTAGAGCTTAGATATTTTGCATAAGGCATTGTCTGGTAGACCCTTACCAAGATTGTTTTAATGATAGCCCTGGGGTCAAAATCGGCCCCACCCCAGGGGTCATTGATTTTCACTATATGTACATAAAGTAAAAACTTAAAATACCTTCTTGTAAAGACCCAAAAGGCCTAGAGCTTAGAAATATTTTTGCATAAGGC